AGGATACATATACATTCACACACACACACACACACACACACACACACACACACAGAAAGAGAGAGTCAGGCTGAAACACATAACTGCACTGACTAACACACACATGCAGATAGAGCCACACATGCGAACACCCACAAACTGCAGGTGGGGGTCGACTGGAGCGCTATGAGTTATTATGGTCCATGAAAAACCAAGAGGTGTGAGCGACAAAGAGTAGAGGACAAAGAAGCATCATTGCTCTCCCTCCCTCCCTCCTTCTCCTCTCAGTCTCTTCCTCCCTTCTTTTTTTCCCCACCTCTTCACTCTGCCACTTCCTCTCCCTCTATACGTTCTCATTCTCTTGGTTCATCCTCCACTTCCGAGTTGTGTAGAACTGCTTGAGACAGTCCTTGACCTTAACATAATAGACAGGCTGTGCAACCATTCACAGTCATTACACTTCATAACATAATATTCTTGAAAGTGAGGGCTCTTGAGAGAGATATTGTGTCATATTGATTGGACCTGCTGAGTTCAAAGATATATATAAAAGAAACAGTTAGCTTCGTCCATATTCTAACATAGACTGTGTATTTGATTGATCTCATTTGTAATAACCCGAAATTAAAAATGTAAAAGTTTTCTTTTGATGCGCAAAGTCGACAGATCAATCTCCTTGACTACCATAAACTACCATGAAGACTGTGATACTGTTGAAAGCTCAGAACAAAAAAATAGTAAGTAGTTTTTGTGCCATTCCCCATGCACATTTGGATCCACTGTGATCTGCAAGCTCAAATCAGTGCAAGTTTGTTTATTATTTAATGTCATACAAAGTGTAACAGATTGCAGTTGCAAATTCTGACCTTCTGTCCACGGTGCCCCCATTGTGCCAAGTTATTACTAAGAGCTTTGAAGGGTGATATTAATTACCCTTAGCCTATTGAACCCGGATTCCCCCCATAAAATCAGCACTTGAAAGTGGCTCTAAAGTCAGAAAATAATATATTCCTTCTTACTGCTTATAGATAGAAGTATTTGAAACCCCGTGATAGTGTTATGTGAACTATGATAAACTCAGGATAAATGCTTTTAACTGTTGCACCATTACATCAAAGGGAAATATTACGGCCCGACATTTTTAATATCTTTGGGATTTGGATCCAGCAGCATTACTGTATGACCCAGCAGCACAATGTTGCTGAAGAGGTTAAAGGACCATACAAGTGGTGTTAATTGTTTTAGCAACAAATTGTGCATGTAGTATATGCTGTGCATGTGCTTAATGCTGCTCCTGGCCAATTTCAAAAGCACATAATCATTTCTTAGATTGATTTTCTACTTTCCAGGCAGCCGCTGGTTTCCATTAATCGAAGGATGGTATAAAAAAGCTCACAGAGACTTGACAGATGCGTATTAATATTCAAATCATAGCTAACATTTAGAAGTTGTTTTATGTGTTTTGTCAGGTAGTAGTTGAGCACAGGTGACTCTTTTTAAAAGCTCTACTTTCAAAGGATGCCCAAGCATGCTCTCACACCTGTGAAAGTGTGAAAAAGCATTTCAAACATTGTTTTTGACAAAAAGAGAAAAAATGAGCAAAAATGAAGTTTGTGAAAAGGCATTAAAAAGTTTGTTGTCCAGCAAGTTTTTGACATTGGAGACTGCTTAAATGCACGGACCCCCGATTATGACTGCAAACAACGGTCACGTATCTTTGACAACAAAGGCAACAAAAGATTCTTTGTGATGGATTTTGTATTTCAAGCAAGTTTCCAACCTCTGTAAATCTCTGTTGATTCTCACATTGTGAAGAAATGAATGGAAACTAGAGCTGCAATGAATAAACTGTTTTGATGATCAATAAATCATTTCATTTATTTTGTCAAGCACAAATGGCCACCATTCTCTGGCGGCAACGTCTTCTCTGTGAGGATTTGCTGCTTTCTGAACTGAATATCTTTGTGTTGAACCTCTTGACAGATCTTGTACTCTAGGAAACATTTTCAACACTGTTATGACATTTTTATAGACCTAACAATTCATCAATCAGACACACACACACTGTACATACACAAATGCACACAATGCATGCTCTTCAGGTGCTGCATCACAAGGGACCCCGGGCTCCACTCTAACCAAGAAATGAACTCTCCTCACTTACACTCTTATTTCCCACTGTGTCACAATGCAAATGAACAACCCCCCCCCCTTTTCCCCCTTCCTCAATCCCTCATTTCCCTCCCACACCCGACCTCTCCTCACTACACCGCTCCAGATCTTCTCTATGTTCCGAATCGGCCTCCGATTTGTTCCACTTCCCCATACTCATTGTTTCAAATGACACTTTTACATTTTATGGTGACCAATTATTCTGTCTTACACAGTCCGCTGGCTCCTGCAAGCAACCTGCCCGGATCAACTGGGGGAGCGGAGGGGGGTGGTGGTGGTGGTGGGGTGTTCGAGAGAGAGAGAAGAGAGAGAGAGAGAAGAGGGGAGGGAGGGAGAACAAGGGAAGAACGTGAAAAATACGACTGATGTCTCTCACTGTTTCTCACAGGGGATGGTCAGGAGAGCGGAAACGAGAAGTTACAGGAGGGATGAGGGTGGGAGAGAGGTTCAGGAGAGAGAGAGGGGGGATGTGGAGGAAACAACAAGGTGGATGTTGGTGGAGAGAAGGGGGAGGGTTGGACTGTGGAGGGAGTCGAGGAATGAAGTGAATGTAGACAAAGGAGGATTTAATGAATGATAAAGTGGGAGAGGGAGTGAAAAGAGTGGAGAGAGAGGGGGAATAAATCACAGAAGAAGACGGAGTACTGGGTGCCCCACTAGCTGTAATGTATGCCTGAGGATGAGCGGGAGGGTGTGCGGGACATTAAAAGAGAAGGAAAGAGTGTGAGAGCAGCGGAACGGAGGAGCGTTGGGAGCCGGAGGAAAGGCGGGGGGAACAGGGGGATGGACGTGGAAGGCTGGGGAGAGGGCGAGGGAGTGAACAAGTGAACATGTGGAGGGGGAAAAAAAGGGAGACCAGTGCTTTTTACCTGTGATGTGCCTGAGGGGGAAGGAGAAAGGAGGAGGGATGGGAGTGAAAACAGCGTGCAAAAAGATTTAAGGCAAGGATGGGGCGGGTCAGCTATATAATGCCTGGGGCCAGGTGGGTGGAAAGAGAGCGACAGATGGAAGAGAGAGTAGGAGAGGTGGAGGAGTGTATATGTTTTATGTTGTATGCGCCTTAGGGCTGCAAGTACAGATTATTTTTATCAAATTTATGTATCGATTATTTCCTATCTATCATAAAACTGGAAAATGCTTGTTACAGTTTCCCAGAGCCCAAGGTAACGTCTTCCAACAGTCGAAAATCATATGCAAAATACATAATATATTCATTTTTAATTTACAGCAAGATATAGGACTGGATATTGGCACTGATTGCTCGATTCGATCAAATTAAACCAATACTGCGGAAACACAGGATAAAAGCATTTCTCAGATTTGAATCTAGGATCTTACAGTTTTTTATTCCACAAGTAAACAACACTGTTTTCTTTGCTTCAAAAGAAAACCTGTTGCCATAAAACTGAGGAACACAACAAGTACACACAACTATACCATTTAGAACAAGCAACCACAAAGTACAAAGCATTTCCTCCACATGGACACATATGGAGAAAATGCACAGATGCAACGATCTGTCTTGGAATTCTCCAATCAATCAACTGAAACCAACCAGAATCAGTTGTTTCTGAGCGCCTTGTCTGCAAGAAAACACTCTTAAAGCCTCTGGAAATGTAGCTTCAAGTCGTAAAAGTGGGGTCAAACTATTTCAACGTTTACAACATCAAACAGACGTACTCTTATGTTCCATAGGAGCGGAGGCCATGAGGAGAGCCAGCGACGTGCTGCAGCATCTATGGATGTATCTTTCTATCTGTCCCCGCTCTCAATGAAGAAGTGTTTTTCAATTAACCCAGCAAACATAATCCAATCACAACTCATAAAGTGATTAAGCAGTTAATTAAGTAAAATCAGATATCTCATAGGAACAATCAATCAACCCAGTCAGCTAATCCGTCTTACCTGTGGTGAAATGTCGGAGGCAGGGTGGGTGGGGACGTGGAGGGGGTGGCCAGGCCGGGCGAGTAGGGGTGATACGGTGTCTTCTTCAGCGCCTGGATCAGGTTGTGCCTGTACTCCGGATCTATGGACCACAGAGAGCCTTTGCCTATGCTCTGAAAGATGAGAAAGAAAGAGGCGGAGGGTGAGGGAGGGGGAGACAGAGGAGAGAGATGTTATTGGAAGTGCTATCGGGCCCCTCAAAGCGCATCACAAACACAGCACAGCACACTGACGCGAAGCCAACAAGTCCAAACACAAGCTCCAAGTCCAGACCTCGTGCTGGATTCCTATTTACCAAACCGCCTGTGCACACAACAACAATTCCCATATTCCTAAGGAAGATAACGCTCGCAGGGATGAGAATTAACACATCCTCAATGCCACCTCGCGCAATATTTTCTGATCCTCTCCCTCTCCGCTGAAAAGAAATCTGGAGGCTTTTTATTCTGATTAAGACAGAGGGAGACTGTTTAACTTTTTTCACTCCAGAGGCGATGATGGTGTGTATTTTTAGATCAAAGCGGCTTCCCCCTCACCTAATGAAACTGTCAGCTCCCAATCTGAGTGAAACCAGCCTATAGATTATAGAGAAGGGAAGAGATCTCAGACGGGCCGCCATGAAAATTCCCTGTTTCTATCTCGCGCCGACTTCTCCGCGCTTTCATCTTGTCATCTGAATGTGGCAAAACCCGGAGTTTGTGTACGGCACGAGGCTGAGAGCGGCGGGAGAGAGGAGAGCAAATATAAAATTAAAGCCGTCCTGCCTCGTGTTCAGCTCACTTTGTAGCGCTCTGTGATATGATGCAGGTACAGGCTACAGGGAGGGGAGATGTCATGGCTGTGGGCCTCTGATTTCTGCAAATACTGCAAGGAATCTATTAGGAGAGAAATGTCAGATGTGCCAGAGCCGTGCGTGTGAGCATTAATTGCAGACAGATCCTTAAACCTGAGGAGCGTTTTGTATGGAAGGGCATGAGAAACACACACCTCATTGCTTGCCGTACATGCGTAAAAAAAAAAACCCAACCAAAACACGCTCAGATGAATGGCATTTGTGGAGCTTACAGCATTGAAAAATGACAGTAGTAGATTTATTTTGCCTGCCTGACCATATTCCTTAAAGAAATACGCTGAGCACAAGGGTAAACTCGGGAGTAAACAAGCAAAAAAAAAAGCTAAAAAGCGAAGAGTAAGACACATTTATCAAGCAACTTACTGCTGCTTACAGAAAGGTGTAAGAGTGACATTTAAGAGCAGCTCTGAAGCGATGGAGGAGGCACAGCCAATCAGAGACAAGGATTTGCGCTGTAAATGCCCCATTTTTCATGATTTAAAAGTCAGTTTTGTGTGACATTTTTAATATCTTCAGCAGCAATTAACATGTGCCGAAAACAACAATTTATATATTTCTGATATCTAAAGAAGGATGGAGTAGGAGAGCAGCAGGTTTAAATAGTGGCAAATGTCTCAGGAGGTGTGTGCTCTCCTCTGTTTTCCCCAAAGGAGCACCTAAACTATCTAAACTACACTGACACCTGTTACAAAAAGCTCTTTTAAGTTATTGTATTGCACTGTTGACAGCAAATGCTCTGCTATGGTCATGTCACAAAAAATTGTGGGGGGGGGGTGACACATACCAACCAAACTTAAGTATGAAAACAGCTGAAATAAGTGTAGGAAACAGCAAAACAATGCATATTTCCTTTTCTCTGTAAAGGTGAAACTGAAGTATTTGCGCCTTTATACCACAATAGCGTGATTCATTCTTTATCTCATTGATTTGAATCTTCACATATTTACATACATACATTTTTACGTCCCTACAATCCAGTACATTGCTGTCAGTGAGACTGGACACATCTCTAAAGTTCAGAAACAAAAGCATCAACATGTGCTGCACCACAAATCCTGTTGCATGCTTCAAAATATATCTCACATAATCCCTAACATTCATCGGACTTAGTTTCATAACCCTCTTATATGTTTGACAATACCAAACCGACATGCTAATGAGTAACGACCTGCCACGCAGAGCCTCTATGGAAACCTCGTGTCTCGTGGTCCCAGGATGTCCAGTGAATCACTCAAAAACTGTGCTACCACTCACTACAGCATCTGACCTTGTAAGAATGCAAGAAGCTAATAAGATGTGTGTGCACTGTTGATCCGTGTCCCCCCTGTGTGGATCTTTGCATTAGCATGTGAGTCGTGTTGAACACGGGCCATGTGTGCCATGTTTTGTTCTGTGTGTGTGTGTATGGGGGGGGGGAGTGTGTGTATGTACGTGTATGGCAAGTTCCCTAGGGAGTGTGATATTACCCAGCGTGGTCTGCTCCTGGGAGTGCTTCTATTACTGCCAGCAACGCCTCTCCTGGAGAGCATGATATTACACACACATACGCTTGCTCCCACAGAGTTGACCCCCACTGGGCCAAATTTCCCCTTGCACCTCCAGCCCGCCAGCCGTTTGTGTATATATATATGTGTGTGTGTGTGTGTGTGTGTGTGCTTACTGCCTGCCCGCTTGCCAGCCGATTAAATCAATGCTGCCTACACAATCTCTGTCTGCCGGGGCCCCTGCTTCTGCCAACCAGCTAGCCAATCAAAACGCTCAATCTGCAGACCCCCCGGTCGATAGGCCAATCACAGGGCGCAGCTCACAGGAAGGGGTCTGTCACCTGGGTTATAGCAGTCGCCTTGGCAACAAGCATCATCTGGGCTTGGAAGTGAGAGGAGGTGAAATGGAGTTTTCATTTTCTGACAAATTCGTAAAGTTGAGAAAAAGGCAGCATGCCTCGAAAATCGATTATCACATAAAGTATTGGAGGTCAGAGATTGGCTCTGAGTTTTCAGCGGGGTTCAACTTTGATACAGTATGACACAGATTTTAAAAATAGGAGACCTCCACAAGGTGGATCTTGCAGCGTAAAAGCAGGTGATAGAGGACTGTGGTCTTGACATTCACCTGAAACTGTGTTTGTGATCTCCCTTTATATTCTTTCCTCTCTCCATCCTTTGATCCCATCTGGTCTCACTCCTCTCATATGAGCACTATTTTCTGGATGATGTGTTTATTCGAGTTGCATCTATGTGCTGGAAAATAGTCACATCACCGTAGTGTTTGCAGCTTAAGAGCAGGATTACACAACAAATAATCCACAACTCGAAACGTCAACCCCTACTTTAAGAAACATCTCATACAGTGCGAGATGAAAACTGACTGGGCACCGCATTAGACTTTAAATTGCAAGTTTAAGCAACATTACGCTACAAGAAATGGATTTAATTATATGTATCTGTGTCACGACACCAGTTTGTAGTAGTTTTGATTAGGAAACCAGCAGTTTTCATTTGCCTGTGTGTTATAAAACTGCAGAACACTGAGCACTGAGCAGGTATTTTCATGATGGAGAAAGCATACATACTGTAACTTGCCTGGGACACGTCATAGTGTGAGTAAAAGACAAAAGGGGAAGAAAGAAGAGACAAAGGCAGAGAGAGAGAGAG